CTTTCAACAGTTTTCCTGAAGGAAAAATAATTCGCATTGTAGTTGCAAACAACCACCAAGATGTTACATTCATTGTAAGTCAACGAAGTCAATATATGAAGTGCAATATCACTTGAATTGCTCTTTATTATTATTAAAAAATTATAATTTAAAAAATCCTTTTCATTGAAAGCAAATGCACTTCACTTGCTCCAGTGGATACATAACTGACTCGGCTTCAAAGAATTGTTCTGACGGTTCCATAGCTAGGAGCAGCAGTACAAGGGTAGGACGGTATTTGAAAATATCCATCTTTAATACCCCCCCCCCTTTACAGCTTGTGACGCAAAAATCCCAAGAGGACGAGCTGACATACTTTGAGGTTGTGGATCGGCCAAAAATAGAGAAAAATGATGATATACATATCCTTCCTTCGTCGATGATTTTTTGTGTGATTTCTGGGCTGGTAAACAAGTTAGAATTCCTTGCTGTAAGTTTGCGAAAAATTGTTTAATTTACCACATTCTAAACGTTGATCCTTTCGCTAATTAATAACATGAAGCTCGCGAATTTCATTCTAGGTGACCACGTTTTCCCCTTCATGGGATTCAAACGCAAATTGACAATTTATATTGAGAGTGAAAATGCTTTCTACTGAAGAATTATAAGTAGATCAAAGAAAATTTGTATTAATTTAACTCGTATTTTAAAATATACGAGTCCTTTATAAGGATACTGTTTATTTTTAGTCTTTTTTGTAAAATTCTAAGTTATTTTTAACCCCATGTTTGCTGGTACTAAATTAACATTATCTAAGAAATGCGTTAATATTGTAATTGATCTTGGTTTAATAATAATGGAACACGTAGAACATGCCGATGACACACAGATCGTCTGATGAGGTTTCATCGATCAATGTATGCCATATTTATATCATGGGCATAAATAATATTTGCTAAGAAAGTCTTTCAAGATAATTCAAGAGTCTGGACAATAAGATCCCATAAATATTTCATAAATAAAATTATTACAGCCTTGAAATAGAATAGCGAGGCGTTTACACTACCAGTTTGAGTTGCCAAGTTGCTTTCACGTTAAGCCACAGGTTAATCCTTTAGAAACCGTTTAATCATCAATCTCTGTAGTACTCACTCTCATTAAGGAGACCCTCAAATCATTTTGAAAATAGCTAATCCTAATTCACTTAACTCGTTACTTCGCACAAGGTACAAATCGATATTGAACTTCCTCACGTCCAACTCTTTTACGGTGCATTTTACCAAGAGGGAAGCTATTCGGTCATGGCGATTTTAGACTCCTATGTTGGTGAGAAAATTGCAGCTACAAAGGTAACGGAGGTCAAAGTCGTTGTTAATGCCAAACAATCCACCCCACCCCCAACGATTGGTAAGTTTCCTTGATTTTGGCTCAATTACTCTCATTTCCCTATGTAGCAATGCAGCCTCCCAGAATTACTGGCATTTCGGTGTTTGAAGTCGGTGTTGAATACATTACCGGATGTGGTGAACACTACAACGTCTTTGCCAATGATACAGCTCTTACTTTCATCTTTAAAATGTTTGGTACTTTAAGCAAAGAAAGGTATCGTTTCACCCGATACAGCGATCCCAATGAATTTTACCAAGAAGATGTGCCTGGTGTTGTCTACCAGTTCCAAGCCAAATTACCAGTAAGTAATGAAAACATGTGCTGTTTAAACATATTCCAATTAGAGAGGATTATATGTCCTTTCAATTATCACCTCTGGACTCAATGGTGAAAGTACTGAAGTTTTCCGAATATTGGAAATTGAAGACTCAATGCACCATTCAATGATTTGTCAAAGCTTTGATCAAAAACGAAATGTTTCACTTGCAAATATTTGGTCATTTTCAACGCCCTCACTGAAAGAAGTGGGATTTAGAATTTTTAATGAATCTGGTCGATTTCACTTTGTGAAGTGGATGAAGCAGGATGTCTGTTTTTCTCCAGAAATTATACCACATCCGGAAATTCCTTCCATTGTCACGGCGGTTTGCCAATATTAAAACTATCTTTCCTTTTCTAGAATGTTAATTCGTTCATCGTTAAGGTGATATCTATCGAAGATGGGAAGAGTTTTGAAGTTCCGACAGCAAATACAAGTGTTTGTCTTCCAAAAGCTGAATTGAACACTAATTTTTTGTATAATCTGGTTATATATGGAAGCAATAAGCGATATATTCACCTTGATAGACACATTATCCTAGTTGGCAATGAGCCAACTATGAATGCGGTCATCAAGTGAGTTCTTACTGGCCTAAGTCACACTGTGCATTTAGGATTTTAAGACCACTGTCGTCGATTGGTAGATCGATAATTTCATCACCTGAAGAAACTGTTCTTACTAGTACCTGCAACCAGGTTATCTGCTCACGAAACACATTGTCTCAATGGGAACTCACCATATCATATCCCAACTCCACTTTCTGGAAGTTGAGTGACAAGGAAATGCAAAAGTATACTGACGGTAGAACAAGAAGTACTTTGGTCATCTCGCCACAACTGCTACTTCAGCTGCCAAGGGAAACGTATTTAATAGTCTGTCTGATAATTCAAGAGAATGTTTCAAAGATAACCAAAATATGCGAACAGTACACGGTTAACATGCCTGAAAAATGCGATTCGTGTATCTTAAATGCCCCAAATATGATAGATGATTTTCAAACGGTGTGTGTCAACTGTAACTGTACTTCCTCTCAGGGTGATACCTTTGAATTTTATAGTAAGTGACAACATTTGAGTGATAACATCCATCCTGTTCAGCAATGACCAATTTGGGAACGCAATCAATAGCATTTGGAGATAGTCCATCGTTCTGCAGTTATCTTCCCGCCTCGGATGATGCTGTTACACCTTGCATTCGAAGTCTGCCAGGATCGATGATCATTGTCCGCAAGTGCTTTCATCAAATTAAAGTAAGTGTCAAGGCGAATTTTTCTCTTTCTACCGAAGAATAGTCACCAGTGAAATTGTCCAAATTTTCAGAGCATTTGAGAAAGGAAATCCAATCCGCAAATTGTCTTCAGTAAGAAGAGTGATTGGACTCACATTGTAAATGGATTATGGGGTACAAAGTGAAAGTTTATTACAGCAGCCAAT